ATTTTATTTAACATTATTATTTTTTCATTTGCTATAGGACACATGTGCTCACCAGAGAGAGACAAAGAGATAGAGAGTGGGAGGGAAAGTGAGAAAAAGCCATCCAGTCTGGAACTTGAACCTTGGTCAGCCATGTGAGTCCAGTCTTAACCACCACGCCACCTGCCGGCCCTCAAATCTTAACTTTGACATCAAGATTGTTTATTACTTTGCCACAGAGCACGTGAGCTCATCAGAGAGAGAGCGAGAAATCGCCCCCTGGGGGGATGGCTATGACACAATCCCTAATTTCCCTTCAGGATTTTGAGTGTGCATACACACGTGCCTCCCATTTTTTTTTTTTTCTCATTTGAGAGATTTTTGCCTTAGAAAGGACTGTGGTATGGCCATCCTCCCAGGGGGTGATTTGTGTGTGCGCTCACCAGAGAGAGAGAGAGACAGACAGACACAATGAGACGGAAAATGAGAAAGCACCCCCAGGGGGGCGGCCATGCTGCAACCTCTTCTCCATTCTCCCAGGGTCCGGAGCATGCATACACACATGCACTTGAAGCGCAGTTGGCCATGTGGGGATCTAGTGACGTAACCACTACACCATCTGCTGGGCCCTGCCAGGCGTTTTTCAAATCAACGGCTCTAGGATTTGAGCCGCACACTTGGCCATGCGAAACTCAACGTCTTAACCCCCATTCCACCTGCTGACCCTGCTTTTATTTTTTCAAGTTTCTTTTTCTTTTTTTTCCTTCCTTCCTTTCTTCTTTCTCTTTTCCTTTCCTTTCTTTCCTTCTCTTTTCTCTTCTTTCTTCCTTTCTCTCCTTCCTTCCTTTCTTTTTCTTCCATGAGCAAGAGACAGAGATAGAGGAACAGCACCCTCAACAGGGTCTCAATGCCTGCCCTCGCCAGCCCCAGTTCACGGGTATGGGTATGGGCATGGGCATGTGTGGTGTACTCGGGGAGGCCTCCAGACGAGAGCCGGACCCTGTCCATGTAGGTGGGCCTTGTAGAGCATTGCCTTTTACCGCGGAGCTCTTTGACCCTTGACATCTTGTTTGGGGATTTTGGAAAAGTTACTTAAAGCCTCAGTTTCTTTTAAATTTTATTTTATTTATTCATCATTTATTTAAATTTGATCAGACACACACACACACACCCAGAAAGAGAAAGAGAGACAGAGAGGGAAAGTTAGAAGCAAGCCACCAGGTACAGGACTTGAACTGTGGTCAGCCATGTGGGAGTGTCCAGCACCTTAACCACCACACCACCTGCTCTGCTGGTCCCAAAGCCTCAGTTTTTTCACCTAAAAAGTGGGGATAATGTCAAGGTTGTTGTGGGGATTAAATGACACAAAGGCTGTGAAGTATCCAGTAAAAGTTTAGCTCTCAATAAAGTGTCATTATTATTCATTTATTTTAATTTCTGTATTTATTTAATTATTATTCAACCTGACCAGAAAGAGACAGAGAGAAAGAGAGAGAGAAGTGAGAAAGCAAGCTGCCAGGTCCAGGACGTAAACCACAGTTGGGCATGTGGGAGTCCAGCGCCTTAACCACCACTCCACCTGCCAGCCCCAATAAAGGGTAATTATTATTGGCATTGCCATTATTCTCCCAACTTTGAATCCTTTGTCTAGAACTTGGCATGCTTCACTCCTTTTCATTCGTTCATGTTTTCATACACAAATTCTGATTGCGTGTCTGCTTTGTGTTTACTTCTGTATTAAATTGTGGTTTAAAAGGTGAATCATGGGGCTGGGAGGTGGTGTGGTAGTGAAAGTGCTAGACTCCCACTTGGCTGACCATGGTTCTAGTCTCGGACCTGGTGGCTTGCTTTCTCACTTTCCCTTTCTTTCTCTGGTCAAATTAAATAAATAATAAAAAAATTAAACACATAATTCTTAAAAAAAAAAAAAGTTGAGTAAGATACTATTAGACCAAGGAATGGAAAGATCGTTATAAAATAATGCTATGAGTGGACAAAGACGGTGAAGAGTCTTATGGGGAGCAGTTAGGGAAGGCTTCCCAGAGGAGGTGCTATCCCAGAAGGGACTACATTGAGGGCAGAGATGAAAGAACACAGATGCAGGAACCACAGCAATTGCATGTGACTGGAGTATGTAGGGACCAAGCAGCTCAAACTGTCTTTAGGGGGAGAAAGAAGCCAGTGGGGAGGAGCCTGTGTGGGACAAGCTCAAACTTTATCCTGCAGAAGGGATGGTAAAGAGTTTCTAAAGGATTTTAGCAGAGGTCAGATTTACATTTCCCATAGCCCACTAGGATGGGTGGGGATGGATTTGAGGAGCTGAGATTGGAGGTTGGATGAACAGCAGTTGCAGCCCTAGGGACACAGAGGGCCAGATTAAATATTAAGGAGACAGGGCTGTATTGGTGTGGTGGGGGTGAGATGGGGAAAATGCATCCCAACGGGTGCTTAACAACCGCGTGCGGAAAGAACGCTTCACGGTATCCTTTAGCAGAGAGTGGTGCTATTATCTGAGAGGAGGGGCGGGGTACAGCTTTGGGTGGAGAAATTATTTTGGAGGTGCTTGGAGGCCTGGGGATGGCCCTCAGGCAGGTGGCCCAAGGAAGAGGGAAAGATGGACTGCAGGTGTGTCAGGCGGCTGTCAAACTCGTGTGTGCTGGTGAGCTCCTGCAGGGTGGGTAACCAGATAGGTTGCCAGATGGGAACCCACAAGCCGGCAGCCCCAGGCACTGTCAGGGCGAGATTGCCCTGGCAGGGAGGGCAGTAGCGGGTTGACGGCGTTAGGGGGCGCACTCGGACTGGGGGACGTGTGTGGAGCTCCCACAGCCCGGGGGTGTTAAACTAGCTCCCAGAACCTCCCAGAGCCACTGAACCAAATCTGGAGAAGACCGAGAGCCTTTGAGGTCAGCTAGTGTCACTTATCAGAGACGCAGCCAGGCAGCTGATCCTCCAGAGCCGGGGCTTCACCCTCCTACCTTGATGCAGGAACCAGGTGCAGGAACCTGGCGGTTCCCCCGGGCAGGTCTAGCTCGGCTGATCTGACTGGGAACCCAGAGCCCTCTCGACCCATCGGCGCTCTCTCAAGAGGCCATACTTCAGTAGCGTGGCGTTGCCCATGGCGACTCCCCATAGAGAGAGCCCTTATCTGAAAAAGACCTCGGAACGAGGTAGAAGGGTGGGGAGCGGCGGACAGGTGGTGCTCAACCCAGGCATGGAGCACCAAGATGACCGGTCCGGGTTGAGGTCCCGGAGGAGAGCGGGGACGTGGGTGGGGAGGATCAGAGTCTGTATGGGGGACCAGAGGAGACACCGTCCGAGGACGCAACAGACGAGCCCCAAACTCCAGTCTGCAGCTCCTCAAGGGACACCTTTCAGGGACCAGGCACCTAAGAGAGGGGAAGGGGTCAGTGGATAAGGAGAGGAGGGGCACGACACGACTGGACAGAGGTCCGAGGATCCCAGACCGGCAAACTGCTCTGGATAGGGGGCATCAGGGACAGGAGCGAAAGGAATCCGGACACAAATCCCGAGGCAGCGGGGATAGCGGCGCTGCGCGGAGAGGCAGCAGGGACATTGAGAGTGGAACGGCCGACCAGGAGCTCGAGCATCCGGGCGTGGTGCGCTGCGGGGAGTGGAAGCTGAGGACTACGGTGCGGGCCGGGGGAGAGCTTTGTGCGGGAGCACAACTGGGCGCGCGAGGGGAACCGCCGAGCATCTGGGGGAGTGCTGGTGCCGAACGTCGAGCCGGATCCAGCTTAGGGTCAGGGCTCCAGGGTGGATCTCAGAGAGGGTATGGGGCAATGTTCTGGGGGTTCCCGGTCGGGCTGTGACTCCAGTTTGAGGCTGCAAAACAGAGCCAAAGCCTACAGCTGTTCCCCGGCCCCCCCAACTCTCTTGTTTGTCTCCAAGTCCGGCCGGAACCGGCTTCTGCTCGCGGCGGGGCGGGCGGGTGGATGCTGATTGGTCAATCTATGTTTCCAGCCCCTCTCAGCCAATCAGCAAACGGCAGTGTTTTCATCTTGGGGTCGGAATAAAAGGGCTGGAATAAAAGGGGGACAGAAAAGGCTCCGCGCGGGCCCGATACACACCAGTAGGAGCCAGGTGAGCTAAACTCGGGGAATGGGGCCGGGGCACTAATGAGGGAGCAGAAGCTGCACAAAAAGGGGCTTAGGGAGAAGATGCTCAAATATGAGCAAATGAGGAGCCTCCATAGAGAGATGGCGAATGCAGGGAGGAGCTGGGAGGATGGAGGGACTGGGGTCCACGTCCTCGGAAGCCGGCTAATTGACGAGATAACGGCCCCAGACCAGGCGGGGGGTCGTCCGGCGGGCTCGCGCCGCCGGTTTGAACCGGCTTCGCCTCTCCCATGCCAGGTTCGCGTGGCTGCAGCGCCTAGCGACCTAGACAGTGGCCAATGGCTCAGCAGTTCCTGTGCGGTCAGGCCAATGAGCGGGCCGTGGGCGGGCCGTTCCGGAGCTCCGTGCGCTGATCTTGTGGTTAGAGAAACCAGTTCTGGGGAAGGGTCTTGAGTGCGGGCGGGAGGACTCCTGTCGGGGTCCCTGGGAGTGGCAACCCTTGCCACTGCCCATGTGGCCGGATCTCAGGCTGCCTCCCCTTCCGGCCCCCAAGCTATGTCCACCGTGCTGGGGGCCAGGACTGGTTCCACGTCTCTGAGCATGCGTTAGTCTCCTCCTGCTATGCCTCAGTTTACCTCGGAGTGAGCTGAGGGAGAAGTCTCCCTGCCTGGCGGGGCGGCTGCAGTGTAGGCAAGGGCAGCAATACGAGCCGGCTGCAGGTTGGAGGGGTGGGGGTCAGAGGGTGGCTCAGGTCCCGGGCGGGGCTGGGGTTTGCTTCCTTGGCTGCACGCACCTACAGCTGGGGCGGCGGAGGGGTGACAAGCTACGCGCCCTGCGGCAGCTGCGGGTGGCGGCCGCACAGGCTGGGCAGGGCCGGCGCTGACGCGGAGGTCTGTGCGCAGGTGGCTGCAGAGCCGGAGCCGAGCCGCCGCGCCGCGCCGCACCATGGCGCCCACTCTAGCCACTGCCCATCGCCGCCGCTGGTGGATGGCTTGCACAGCCGTGTTGGAAAATCTCCTCTTCTCGGCAGTCCTCCTGGGCTGGGGCTCGCTCCTCATCATGCTCAAGTCGGAAGGGTTTTACTCCTACCTGTGCACTGAGCCAGGTGAGACCGGCGCCTCGGGCTGGGGATGATTCCTGTCATCTGGGGGCTTGGGGAGAGCGGGGTGGAGATGAAAACCCAGCTAGCAGGGCCGCTCACCGCACAACGCCTCGCAGGTATCAAAAAAAGTCCATTTGGTCCTCATCCAGCTCACTGGGTACTTAACATTGGCCCCGTTTTGTGGATGAAAAACCGGGGCTCCGACAGATCTTCTGTCTTGCCCAAGGCCCTACAGCTGGGGACTGGGATAGACCCAGAAGGCTCTTGTCTTGTCTGGGTTGTTCTTCCCACTACCCCGGAACGTTGTGGGACTCCTCTCCTCCCAGGGCCTGGCACATGGCTTGCCTTGCAGTAAGCATGTTGCTCCCTAATTGTCAGAAAGAGGAACTCGTATTTCAGGGACTAGGGTGCAGCAAGAGAGAGAGGAAGTGGCTTGCCTCCACCCCACGGAGGGTTCATCTAGAATCTAGATGTTTGGTTAGGCCATTATGCTGTCTTCTAAGCGCCCCCATGCAATTTCTTATCTATTTTTGCTGCTTTGTGATTTGCCAAAGCAATTTCCTCCCATGGCTGGGAGAACATCTCAGTGGTCTTCTCTTCCAATCCCTTGGGCAGGAAAGGGAAGTGGAGGGTTTCTGGAAGGGACAGTGGGCTTGTTTCCTCCTCCTTGGTGTCACTGAAGGCAGGCTGAGGATGCTTGTCTAGACGGGGTCATCAGCCACCACCTCCTTTCCACCATCTCACCTGGTCTGAGGATCCTAATTGCTGCAGGTCTGTAGTGTCAGTGTCAAGACAGGGCCAAAGCAGTCCCCGCCTCTACCCCTTTTCCTAGGCATGCTTGATGGGAAATGTTTCCCTCTGCGCTTTCCCTGCCTTGGACCGGAGCTACATAGTAGCAGAAGTCACATAATCTCTCTAGAATCCCTTTAGATGGAGATAGTCCAGGTCTCACTCTCTGAATCACCACCTTTCTTCCTAGAGTTCACAGGGAGAGAAAGCTTTTGACCCGCTTGTGTTGTCTAACCCCCTCCTTCCTAGTTCCTTTCTCTGGCCTGCCCAGGAGATTCCTGAGTGTCCCAGTTTCTAGGGAGGCTTAGCTGGAGAAGGGACGGGCAGGAGAAAGGGAGGAAAAGTGGAGGTCACCTGGCAAAGGGCAGAAAGTATGTAATTTATAACCAACCTTTAGCCTCTAGCCACTCAAAAATATTTCCTAATAGCTTAAGGGTTCTTGGCAGGCCTTTCCCCACATCAGCAAGAAATCCAGGGAGATGGGAGAGTCAGACCTTGTTCTCTGAATAAGCTTTCTACTTTGCTTAAGCGATGGGAGATTAATGACTTCTGGAAGGAGCTGGTTGGACTGTTTGACTCTCCCTTTTCCTTCTTTTCAAATCATGAGCCTTCTGATGGGCTCTTTCAAGCTGTACAGAGGGTTTAAAAAACAAACAAACAGAAAAAGGAACCAGCCCTGTAGCCTAGTAGTTAAGGGAGTTCGAATCCACATGGCCCGCTGTGGTTCGAGGCCCAGCCCTGGCAGCTTGAGAAAACACACTGGGTGTATGGGTGTGCATGCGCCAAATCCAGATGGGGTGGAAAAATAGAGATGGGATTATTGAGTTGACGTGCCCCATTAGGGGGTGCTTTTCCTCCTCTCTCCCTCTCTTTCTGTTTTTCTCTGGCAAAAACAGAAACACAAACAAAAACAAAACAAAAAATATATTACACCTTCAGACAAAAGTTTTAATAACTCATCCAGGCTCGCAGACTGTGTGGTCCATTTTCTTTTTCTTGTTTTTGAACCCACTATGGTGTTAGGAAGGTCAGATTTTAGGTTGTTTCATTTCTCTGCGTGGCCATGGATTCAGTTCTCTTGAAGGTGTTGTCAGCATCAGGGCTGGTCATTTCTGCCTTAACCGGGCGTCTTCCTTCACTTACGTGGGAGGAGTCCCAGTGATTGTGCCAACGTGGTGCTGAGTTGGTATTTAAGCCCGGGAGAAGCTCGATGGGTCACTCCTATAAACCAATGTGAAGGTAAAGGGTCAGGATTGTGGGTTGAACATCAACTTCTTATCCCGTGCCTTTGCTGCTGCCTTTCATTTTGGTTTTTCTGATTATCTGGCAAACCCGCTGACCCAGCATCCTTGGCGGGAAAGCCTGCTGAGTCTACACAGCTTATCTCTGGCCTCTCTGCTCCTTGGAGTCCGTGTCACCTGTAGCCTTTCCGGGTCAGAAATCCCCATGCTTCTGACAGTGAGTGCCTGGTGAAGTTGGGGTCCAGGTTTCTGCTCAGCCTAACTTTTCCTTTCTTTTCTTTTTTTTTTGGAGAGCTTTTTGCTATAGGGCGTGTGCGCTCACCAGAAAGGCAGAGAGAGACAGAGAGACAGAAAGTGAGACAGAAATAACCCCCCAGGGGGATGGCCACACCGCAATCCCTTCTTCTCAACATTCTCCTCTCAGGATCTTGGGCACGCACGCACATATGCCCGGCGTGAGTTTAAGCCACCGGGTCTGGAACTTGAACCACGGTCAACTATGTGGGAGTCCAGCGACATGGCCATTACGCCAACTGCTGGTCCCTCCTTTTCTTTTTTAAGAGCTTTTCGCCTTAGGGTGCATGCACTTGCTAGGGAGAGAGAGACAGAGACAGTGAAAAATCACCTCCATGGGAGGATGGCCATGCCGCAATCCCTTCTCCATTCTCCTCCTGGAATCTTGACCATGCATACACATGCACCTAGCATGATTTTCAAGCCACTGGGTCTGGGACTCAAACCGTGGTTGGCCATGTGGGAGTCCAGCATCGTAACTACTATACTATCTCCTGGCCCCCAGGCCTAACGTTTTCAAATGTGGTCGATGGCTGATTGGCAGAGAAAGTTTACTGAGTTTATCGAATTAGACTTACGGAAAGCTGACTGTCTACGGCTGATCGAGGTGCAGGTTTGTCAGCTTTCAAACTTACGCTTTCATTCGTCCTGTAAAGAAAATTTGCCTGACTCTGTTGAAAGATTCTCCAAACTCTTTCTTGGGACTTTAGCCAGAGTCTGGCCACAGACATCCTGTTGGGGTCCAGCCTGGTGCCGTGAAAGAAGGGGAGAAACATCCTCTTCTCTACTGCCCCTCAGCTTGTTTAGCCTTGTTCCCAGACAGTAAGAAGAGGTGACGGGCTGCAGCTGGAAGCTGGGGTCAGGCATTGGATAGGCATTGCATGGTATGCACCACGTATTGGCTGAGGGGCACCTCCCCAGTCCCCCTGGAACGGACGTGGGACCCACGAGGCTCCCATCCTGGGAATAGTGGGGTTTTCCCAAGGCTGTGCTTTCTTTGGCCTCTAGAGTGGCCACTGTCACCACCCATGCCTGACCTCTTTCTTCATTTTCTCTGTCATTCAGTGGCACACTTCCACGCGGTCAGCTCAGGGGGCTAGGATTCCTGTGGATGTCCAGCCCCCCTTCCATCCAGCCTGCTCTCCCAGTGAACAGGTACTGAGGTGCATGCTGGAGGTGAGGGAGCAGACTTGTCCTAGTCCAGGTGGCGGTCAGGACTCCTAGGAGAGCAGCCTGCAGGAGCCAGCGCAACAGGGCGATCTGGTTCTGGCTTGGTGGGTGGAGGGGTAAGTCAGGCGAAGAGGGGAGAGGAGCCCTGGGCAGGCTGCAGTGGAGGAGAGGAGAGAAAGGGCTTGCTCAGGAGACAGCTGGAGAGGTGGAAGGAGCTGGACTCGCAGGCCTGGAAGGCCACTGGGGGAGCCTGGATTTTATTCCCAAGGCAGGAAGAAGCCGTGTAGGTAGAGGAGCACGAGGAGCCCACTCCCCTGTTAGAGCTGCTCACGTCTTCCTGCGCATCTAGGCGCTGGGGGGAAAGGGGGCTGTGAAGTTGTCAAGGCCACAGCCAGCGGGAGTCACAGTCTAGCCATGGACACCAGGGCAGCCACTGTGCCTCAGGAGGTGACACGAAGCAGGAAGGTGCACCCGGGATCTACAGGAAGGCAAAGAGCCTGCTGTCCCCCAAGGAAGTGGGGCCAAGCCTGGACCCTGAGGCTGTGCAAGGTTATGGATGTGGACAGAGGGTTCCTGCTGCTTCGAGACTTCGAGACCTTCCTGGTCATGGGTTTCGTCTCCACCCAGAGGCTAGCAGTCGACAACTTTTGGAAATCCTTTTATTGCAGTGAATATGACCGCCCCACCCCCACCCCAATTTAGTTTCAATAATAAAAAATTAGGGTTCCATAGTGACAGGTAAGAGGGAAAGACTGGGGCCACAACCTTAGGACAAGTCACAGAGAAGAGGTGGCGCCCTCGGCTCCCCCCAGACCTGCCTTCCTCCCTCTCATTTCATGACCTAATTTTCCTCCCCACATCCGTTGGCCTCCCTTGGTTTTATGGTATCCCATGAAGGTTCTGTCCAGCTTGGGTTGGTTCTCAGGAACCTCATGGGAGGGTCTGGGCAGTCTTACTCTCACTAGGCCATCTTCAGGCCCACCGGGGTGGCCCACAGCTCTGCGACAGCCTTTTCCTGGGCCCATTCCTTCAGCGGTTCCTTCTGAGCTGCAGCTTGCCTCTGACCCAGGTCCAGCAGCATCAGCCCAGCCTGAAGGTTTAGAGCCGGAGCTGCAGGGTCTGACAGCCTCGGTTCAAGTCCAGCCCCCCATGCGCCAGCTCCTAGAAGTGCACATCTCCCACGTGGGACATGGGAGCTGGACTTGAACCGAGGCTGTCAGACCCAGGTTCAAGTGATCAGCATGCCCTGAAGCTCCCGGAATCCTCACCCCCCATGCAAAATGTAGGGTGGGGAGGGGTTGAACCCATGGCCGGCACACAGGCACTGTGCACACAGGACCACATACTGTGACCACGACCCGGGACGTCCCTCCGCCTGTCCTGCCTCTTGTTTGCTGTGTCTGAGCCGACCTCTCACCTACATCTCCCCTGCCGGACTGGGACTGAGATGCTGCTTCCTGTTGCCGGATAGACGAAGGATTTGAGAGAGAGAGACAGGAGATCCTGGGG